TCTATTCTATTCTATTCTATTCTATTCTATTCTATTCTATTCTATTCCATTCCATTCTAAAAGGAGGAAAGGTTCCTTGTGTTGGAGGAATCTGCATTAATTTGGAATATTCATTACTACAATGCATAGTCTCAAAGTGGCAACACCACCAAAAGATGGTCAGCTATATCTTTTCCCATAAAAACTTATATTTAAATTAAAGCAACATTACCTGTGTAGATAAATCTTCCAGGTGTGCCTTTACAGAACTGCTTGGATTTATAGGACAATGTAACTTCCACAACACCAGGAATATGTCGGGGTGGTGTTTGAACTCTGATAGCATGTGGTGTAATAAGCTAGAAGCAATTGTAAGAATAGAGGAAAATGGTTAGATATAGAATAGTTATGTAATAACACATATTTTTCCAGATCACACTACAAAGCTTTGGAATATATAATTAACCTGTCAGTGTTTGAATGAATTCTTGGAATAACTAGCATAAAAGCCAATGACAACAATATTTGCAAATGTTATTTCCCAGCTCAGTTTACACAGCAAGATTTATTTCAGGATATGAGAATTTCTTGTGACAAACCACAAGTTTTGACTGAACCAACTTGCAATTTTTATACTAAGGAATCCTACAGGATTTCCATTTTGTTCCCCTAGCATATGACAGATCTGATATGAGTGTCCTATTAGAAAACTATCAAACAAAAAGTAAGGGCTTTCCACATTTCAGTCAAGGCAATGGAAAAGATAAGCACATATATGTTTTCTCTCTGACAATGACATTTATTCAGACAACGACATGTATATATTTTATATATACTATATATAATTTATATTTTAAAATATAATAATATATATAATATATATTTTAAAATATATATTGTATATATTTTACACTCAGTTCATTATCTGTGATGCAATAGGGCATTCCTTTGTTGTAATACTATTTTGTACCACTATTTTGTACCACTTCGTTGTACCACTATTTTTCAGAATTAGAATTCCTACTGAAATCCCAAAGTTATATTATAATATTGTTCTGTGCAGAATACTCCATGAAACAGAGAGGAGCACAAGGCTGACCTCATATACTTGTTCTGTTTCATTTGGGATATTCCAGTTTTGTATGCCTTAAAATATATACTATAGCTTTTGAAGTATTAATTGCCTACTGCTGTAAGACACTTTCACAAGCCTGGTCATAAAATAATAACTACAATATGTGAATGTGTGTTATATGTCTTTTTATATCAGGAATTAGATCCGACTTTAACAGCCGTTTTCATTTGAGACTTTTAAATAAACTATTCTGCTACAATATTACTTCATGTCCTTCAACTATTTTCTCTTAACTCGTTGGGGAATTGCAGTGAAGTAAATGTAAAGATAGGAGAAATTGTCTCAAAAAATTCTGATCATGTGGGTCTTTCTGTAACAACATGAAATGTTAATTTTTATTTGACACATTTCAGCTTTAGTCTATGACCTGTAATTATTGCAGCTATTGTTGCATTTTAAATAGTTATTGTTGATTCTGTATCACTTTATCTTGAGCTATGAAAGTATAACCAACTTATCAAGATTAGATTGGGCTATTATAAGAACGTTATGATGCTCTGACTAATCCTGTTGGTTGACACTTAAATGTGCCATGATATGACAATGCAATCTTTATAATATAAAGAAAGGCATATTAAAACCAGCATTTTTGGAATCTTGTTAAAGACTGATTTAAACTCGTTCTCAGACAACCCACAAACTTAGTCATGTGCCTCATTAGAGGTGGCTAATGGCAGGGGTGGGCTTTAAAAAAATTAGCAAAGGGTTCTCTATCCAGTTGCTGGGTGGGCGGGGCCATAGTGAGCATGTTCTAGTCAGCTTCCTGAACCATGGCTGAGGGAGGCCTTTTTACCGTCCCCAGGCTCCGGAGGCTTTCCACAAGCCTCTGGGAGGGCAAAAATGGCTTTCTGGAAACCAGAAACGGGCCCATTTCTGGTCTTCTTGAACTTCTGGGAGGCCCATTTTTTGCTCTCCCCAAGCCTCCACATGCGCCTTGCACCTACCTGCATCCAAAACAGGTCGCATGGAGACTTCTGGGAGGGGGAGGGGGGTGGGATTTGGGGTTCTTAGCTAGAGGCTCTCTCAGACCCCTGCGAACCCCCAGCAGCCCAACCGTGGCTAATGGAACAGATAACACCCGGCCTCTTTCCTGTGCATACTTTGCTCCATCCCATTCCATTGCCTTAATAAAGATTTTATATTTAAAAATTGAATTAAAATAAAAAATTTCATTCGATTTTTAAATTTAAAATCTTTATTTGTTTTAATGTTTTATATTGCACTTTATTTAGCATCTGCAAGCTGCCTAGAGTCACCTCTGCTGAGATGGGCACTGTACAAGTTTGATAAATAAATGAACCTTCTTTCACAGGCTTTCATAGTTTTATGTTTAGTTTTATTGTTTAGTTCTACAAATGAGAAAGATTTAATTTTTTAACATTAAAAAAGAAATTATGAATAAAAGTAATCCATTTTTCTGAAATGACCGAGAAGAAGTGATATATCCATATACAGAGAATAAAACAAAGCTTTGTGAACTATGAAGAATACATTTTTAAATAAATTATCTTATGTGTTTTTAAATTATCCTGTATGCTTTTATTGCACATCCCTTTGTCAAGATTCTGGCAGTTACTCCAATTAAATCATGAGCCTCAAGCCACACTCCCAAAATTCCAAAGGATTTATTAGAAGTTAACATGCCAGCATTAGCCTGGGCGTAGCCAACTTTGAGATACGTGATTTACTGTCACCCTTGATCCTGCTTCCCCCCCCCCCTCTGTATGTATCATCCAATGAAACACATCCATAGACAAGAGTCATCAATCATGCTCTCCAATTAGATTTTTGTGCAGCAGAAGCTTCAGTCATCTAATCAGTCTCTGAATAAAATATGAATGGAATGTACTTTCAATTCCATACTCCTGCCTGCTCTTTGAAACTCCCCCCCCCCCCTTCTTTCTGTTGACAACTATAAAATGTTTATACAAAATGTTTTATGAGTTGACATTCGGCTCCCCTCACTTCTTGAAGGTGACCTGTACAACACACACAAAAAGCAAATTGATTGCAGATATGGAAGCTTATGCTCACGAAACCCCCCCCCCCCCCGCCCCCAGGCTTGGTTGGATTTTCTGCATGGAACCTTGCTACAAGGCAATCTGGCTTGGACATTCCTACTCTTTATCCATGACGCCTCTGATAAGGGGTAGCCCTTCCACTTGATTAAATATTGGAGTTGTCTCCTGTGCCACCTCGAATCGAGGATTTGCTGCACCTCATAATGGGTTTGGCCTCCTATGACCACAGGATCTGAGGGCTCATAAGGTAGGGACCTCAGCATTGATCCAACCATAGGTTTTAATAGGCTACTATGGAATACTGGGTGTATTTTCCCTAATAATTGAGGCAACTTCAATTGCACCGTGACTGGGTTGATGATCTTTACTATGGGAAATGGTCCCATGAACCTTGGCCCCAATTTCTTGCTAGGGAGTCTTAACCTCAGATATTTGGTAGAGAGACAGACCTTCTCCCCCAATTGGAATGGTCATTGTGGGGCTTGGTGTTCATCTGCCTGTCTCTTATAGTTCTATGCCACTTTTGCCAGTGCTTTTTTGACATTCTCCCAAGTTGCTTTCAGCATTGACATCCAATCGGTCAGGCTGACCAGCTGACTGAGGAGAGGGCGTCCCTTGGATACTCAGGCATTGGAACGAAGTCCATGCTGCTCACTACCTTGAAGGGGGTTAGTCCCGTTGTTAATCTATCACTCAGGTCCTTTTCTAGTGTATTGCTTTTCTAGAGTTTTCTGGTAAACTCAATCCTGGACACTATGCACCTTCAGAGATTACTCCAAACTTCATGATCTCAGAATCTGTGAGCTGCAGTAACATAATCACTGTTCTCTGGAAAGATTCCAAATTCAGATCACAATTTGAATAAATCATTAGTTTTGCAGATGTCCTCCCTCCTCTGGAAGCTTCCATGCCAACTGACTCATCAACAAACTGTAGAAGAATGTTTGGGCTATTTAGTTGTACCTATATATTCTCCCTTCTATCACTATCTTGGGGTAAACCATTCACCTGTGTTTACATAATAGTTGGTGGAGAAGGATTCTGATGGGGAAAGGGAAAGAGTAAAGGGCTAAAGCTTTGTCTTTGTCTTTCATATCATTGCCCAATTCAATTCCTCACCCCACCCCATATATACCGGCTACTTATTTCAGTAAAATATGGATGCCCCAACTACAAACTTTACAATTACTATGCAGGCTTGAAATACAGGAATTTTAAAAGAGCCCTACTGGAAATGTCTAGTCCATTAGTTGGTTCTAAGAATAACCAACTAGGTCTTTCAATGAAAGTCAACAAAGGAGGCATAAAAGAATAACCTTGTCTCATTGTTTATTAGCATCTGTAATTCAGACACAATTTGCCTTTGAACCTGGAGAAGATTTCATTTGATAATTATATGATCTATCTAAGTTAAAACAAACAAAACTACAAGCCAGCACCCATTGTCATATCACATGACAATGAATTTCATATTTTTATGAATCATACCTAAGCAATACAAATATATAACTAATCAGATTCATGATGACAGATGCATGACACACAAATCCACATTAATAAAAAAAAATAAAGGTCATTTAGGGTTCTATATCTTTAAGCACATAGGAATAATGTATGTGCAACAATAGCCCTTTCTCATCTTAACAATGATTCTAGCTAATATCTGAATTTCAGTGTAATGTATCTATGACAGCCAGTTTGGAACACATCACTTTGAATTGCACAAAATAAAAGTGAGATATAAAGATAATGATATAAATATATTTAAATTTTGTTTTACACACACACACATACACACACACACACACGATTATGGTGTTCTACTTGACTGCTTGTGTACAAAATATAGCCCAATAGAAGATAGTTTTTTTCTTTTTTAAATGTGATTTTTTTTAAAAAAAATCATGGTTATTATGACAATTTAATTGGAGATTAGCTGAAAACTCAAATATCTTTGTTTTCATACACAATTAGCAAGGGAAATTATGCTCTGATTCACTCCTCCAAGTGAAAAAGGTTGCAAATATGTTATAGAACCTATACCAGTAACATATGTTTAAGTAATAAATATGTAGCCCAAAATCATTTTAAATCAACATATTTAACATGTATCTTCTATTTATCGCATGCTCAGTTAGCAGAAAGTCCTATTTTCTTGAATAAAACTCACACCAGCATAGCATTTTAAGAGAAATGACTTGATAATCAGTTTCCATTTCATGCGTATAAATACTGCAATTACAAAAGTTGAATACATGGGAAATAAAGTTATAATATTTACATTACAAATTGCAAAATAGGAAAAGAACCACTATTTCAGAAATGAAACTCTGATCTGTTTCTTATTTCTCAAATATATACTTAAATACAATTGTTATACTTTATAGGGACAGGAAAGTATCAAATAAGAATATTTTAAAACTTTCTTCCATCAGTTATTTAGTTACATTTAGCTGTATTTCATTCTGGATTGCAATGAAAAGTGAATATTTCTAGGCTTTAACAAAATTTAAATGTCATGTAACATCATTTCAGTAACCCAGACAAGTTTTAAAAAGTATTAATTTTTCTAAGGTTTTAATAAAAGTTACTTGCTTACTTGCTTAAAAGTTACTAGACATAGTTTTTTTCTGGCCTAGCTTTGTTTTGAAAAAAGTCCCAACTATGTTAAACAAGGAATAATATCTATTACTGAGGTTCTTAATTATCAATGCTATAAACAGAATCTTCTCCTAAAGCAAAAACAATTATCAAAATATCAGGTATTACTTGTCAATCAAATCCTTGGACAGTTCACAATGTTGTTGTGCAGTTCACATTTTTATAAACATGTTGTTAAAATGATCCATAATATTTTAATGGAAATCAAATAACCAGACATAAATACAAAACTTGCTTGCACTTGCTTTAAATTTTCCTTTTGTAATTCTGTATTTTGCAAATTTTGTCTTGGTGTTCTGTTTCTTCAATCAAAAAGCAATTAAAAATACTATGGGCTTAATCCTGCAATCACAAAAATCAATATATGATGTTTTAACTTATTTTGAATTTTGTATCTCTTAGGGAAAGTTCCTTAAGAGCACTTTTACAAATGGAGGATGCACTTACATCTGCTAAAGATAAGTATGAATATTCATTGTGACAAATGCACAGCTAACAATTGTTCAGTGGTTTTGGTGTGGATATAATTCATAAATATTAAAATATTATTTTTAAAGAAATGGTACCGTTGTATACTGTAATATGGAATAGCACATCAAAGGCCTTAGGAAACACATAATCAGATAATATAATTTTACATAGCTGATGTAAATACAGGTACCTGATTATTAACTGATTGTGATCATAACTTTGCAATTGTCCTACATAAGAACAGGACATTTGAACACACAAAGTTGTGATAGGAAGTCAGTTCCATGCCCATTTAGCCTAGAATTCTAGTGTTACTATACCTGAATGTAACTCTCCAAGTAGTTCAGGTAAAATAAATGGATACTCTGGGAAATAAAGCTAAATGGATCATCTTATCCATTTCAGTGGCAGCACCTAATAGCACGCCAGATTGGTTAATCTCTTGAAGCCATAATCTAGTTTTTTTTCACAAGTTTCTGCACCATATAGATCAGCATCCATAGCTATTCATAGCATCCATAACTTCTGATGCCTGACACATGTCTCCAAATTGAACTGCCTGTATAAATGGCTAATGTCTAAGATCTCCATATCTAGGAGCTTTGAATATGTCATTAGAGATTAGCACTGGCAATCAGAAGGAATTTCTCTCCCTTCAGAGATCTCCATATTTGGGGAAATAGACATAAAATGTTTGTCCATCAAAATGAACAGACAATATGTGAAAAAACTTGTGAAAAAAAACTAGCCTGCATCATATACATTTTGAAGCATGTGTATTTGGGATGGACTTATGCCTCAGGTGTACTGCCATGTTAAATTTGCTTTTAAAATTGCAATTTTAATTGGACTAAGTTGCATGAGGGAACAACTGATAGGAGCATATATTTAAACCATTTTGTAAAATTGACATTAAGGGGTGGTATAAAAAAAGAGAGGAAAATTGCACAGACCAATTAAAGAAACAAAAATAAACAAGGTATTAATATAGTGTCACATAGAGTACAAAGTTATTCTCTTATTCTAAAAAGGGGGGATTGAGGACTAAATTGTTATGGTCATCATAGTTTACATTAAAGTGAATTATAATTCTTGGTGTTGGAAATAACCATTTATTTATCGGGACTGATAGATGTCTATGGAGATTCTCAGTCATCCAGGTCATGTTGTCCCAAAAGTGCTTTTTCAAATGGCAAGTGGACTTTGTTTTTTCTTGAAGATGTTTTTCTTCTCATCCAGGAAGTTTCTTCAGTTCATGAGATGAGCTTCTTGAATGAGAAGCGAAATGTCTTCAAGGAAAAACAAAGCCCAGTTGCCGTTTGAAAAAGCACCTTTTGGGGATGATCAGGACTGACAGTTACTCCTAATTAGATTATTTGTAGCACTGCAGGCATGTTCACATGTTTATTTTTTAAATTATTTATTTCATAAAGACATAAATATAAACAGGGAAAATTGATATGTGCCACAAGGGCAGCTAATACCCCAGTTATTTAAAATGTGAAGAATTAGAAAGCATTCCCTTTGTTCCTATACTACATTTCCTAAAAGAAAGAAAACTGGCTATAAACCAGACACAGTTACTGGATATAAATTTGCAGGGAACACCTACCTCACTCCAGACCAGCATGGTGCCGAATATGACCTGTAACCCATCAAAGAAATTGTCTCCTATGATGATGACAGTGGCACCTCCAGTAGTCCATCCTTCACTTGGACTGATGGCTTTGATACAGGGCGTAGCTGCTTTCCAACACACATGAAAAAGAAGGATTTGGCTGTTAGAACAAGATTTTAATGATAAAAGATCTGGGGTCGGGGAGAGAAAACTTTGATTACCCCTCCCCTTTCTAATATGAAGATCCCTTTCTGTATCTGGCTCACACTGTCTCCCTCTTTTCTGGGAGAAAGTTTTCTAGAACAGATTCTTGAAAAGAGAATGATTCCCCATTAATTTTTCATTTTGTTCCTATTTTTTTTCTCTTTAAAAGATAATCTTAGTTATAGGTAGATATATAGATATATAATAATATATCCTTTTTAACTTTTTGCTTTAGGCATTATGGCATAAGGGATGACTGTGGCATTTTTTGGATCAAAAATTACTGGAGTTTTTCAAGGCTTCACCATTGAAAGAAAAGAGCAAACTTGCTGGTTGAAGACTGATTGGCTGGACGAAAGAGAGCATTCTTCAAATTCTTAGTTCCTGCCTGTACAAAATATGACCCTGCTTTCTTCTTTTTGGAGATTCAACATGAAGGTTTACCCCATTTGGTAAACCTGTTTCATGATTATAATGTTTTTGGTTGCAAATAGCCATGACGTATCATTATGTTCAGATAATTTTGGCACTTTGCAGTCATGAAAAATCTATCCAAAGTGCATTTGGAAACACAACAGTTCTCTGCAAAGGTTTGGGGGGAAATGAACTATCTTTTAAAAGGATACTATTACATATTAGAAAATGAAGCCAGAGTCCAATTTTTAACTATATGTTTGTTAGCAATAGCATCCATTTTAATGAATCCAAAGATGGCAGGCTTTATAACATTGATTTATTTTTGAAAGGATGAAACTTAATTACCAATCACCTGAACAGAGCACAAAAATCTACAGTTAACACTAGAAAAATTTTCTAACCTACTTATAATGAATTTGTACAATCCTAGAGTCAACCTAAAAAGTGGCAGGGTGAAGTAAATGACCAAGAACTGAGCAACTTCCATTTATATATCCTTTTTAACTTTTTGCTTTAGGAATTATGGCATAAGGGATGACTGTGGCATTTTTTGGATCAAAAACTACTGGAGTTTTTCAAGGCTTCACCTTTGGATCTAATTCCGAGATGGCACAGCTTTGTGATGCCAAGGCTGAAAGATGACTCACTGTTATTCTTTCTTTTATATATCTTATTCTCTGCATAACTGCCATGTTACGCACATCTTCATAGGTTTTATGAAAACTAAACCCGCCTGGGGAAATGAACATTCTTAAATTCTTTTACGGAAATAAGCAATGGGGTCCTTCAATGAGCAGGATAAACAAAGTCAAATGCATTCCCTGGTGAATTATGGACACATCCATATAAATTTCCTAGAAGTATTATCTAAACAGCTTGCTTTTATCTTTTTCTACGTTATTCTTTCAACTTCGCAGTTTAGCCTAAGTTCTAGGATTTTCTTGGTCATCTTCCATCCTAGCACTAACTAGATCTAACCTTCTTTCAAAATCAGCAAAGATTAGCTGGAAAATGCTAGAAGATCACATTTCTTTTGCCACATATTCCTTAAATCTGCTCTGAATTGCTTCAGGGACTCCCTGAAGAATATATGTTGTGTGGATGAGGAGGAAAATGAGTATGGAAATTCCTTTTATGTATATGCAAATCTGCTCATATTATGTTGGACTGAGCTACTGCATCTCTCAAGGGAGTATATAATTATCCTGTTCCAAGATGACCTTCCCTGTCTCTATAAAATGTGACAGTCTTTGAGAGTTGAAGTTGTGTTGTGTTGTGTAGTGACTATTTCCAAGACTTTGTACACCATGTGTGTTTAAACTAGACTTGGACCCAAATTTCTATTGTCTAGTATTTAGACATAGGAATTTAGATATGGCAGCTGACCTGATAGAATTGTCATCTATAGGTGTACACCTGCATACACATGCATACCTGTGCATGCGCGCGCGCACGCACACACACACACACACACACAGGGTGACTGCCCTCCAAGCAAAGAGAATGACTTTGAGCAACCTTCAGGTATTTATATCCAAATACAAATAGATATGGGAAGAATGATACCATTGGGGCTCTAGTTCAATCCCATTTATTTGCACAATTATAACCATGTGTAAGTTTCTCCATCCCAGACCAGACTCAATTCCAGTTTTTAAAAAATGAGACTACTGACCCAGGACACAGGGTTCCTCTGAAGATAAATAGGCTTGAATGGATTTTGCATATGCGGGGAAAATGGTAATAGAAAATACATGATTTGGTTTTAGACCAGGCTTTATTTAAAAGCAGCTGTTTAATATGATGTTGTTTGTTGAAAAATGTGAAATAAGTCATTTGTTCCTTTCCTTTTCATACAGTATATCTAAATATATACAGACATAAAATAAATAGAAACGTAAATAAATAATAATCAGGCAAAGAACGTACCATTAATAGAATTTTTAACCATTCAATCTTGAATGGTTGAATGGTTCTTTCTGCATTCTACCATTGCACAAAGGATAATGTGTGTGTGTGTGTGTGTGTGTGTGTGAATAAAAGTATTAAGCAATTAGAATAGAACAAAAATAACCACACATATTACGATTCCCCCGCTAGGAAAATGCCATCTCTGTTTCCCCCCCCAAAATTACCATGCAGCCAGTTAAGAGCAAGTTGTCAATTAACTACATCATGATATCCAGTGCTTCTGTAGGATATAAGAACATAAACAATTTGCAGAACAATCCCGATTTATATTTCAGAAAGATAATCTTGGAGACCTAAGGAGTTTAATAATCTCTTAAATATTCACCAAATTTAATGGCCATAGTAAACAAATAATGCTGAGTATTTTCATGCTTTCTGTATTAGTATCATATAAGTATCATACTGCTTGTTTGCAAATCAAGGAAGGAAGGAAAGATGGATGGAAGGAAGGAAGGAAGGAAGGAAAGAAAAAGGCCTATTAGATCAGCCAATTGATATATCCCAACTGCGTTTCAGAGGGAACTTGAATTTATTTTGAAAGCCTTCTTGGTCCAAACAAAGTGGTGATTATATGGCATAAAGACAGGCCATGTCCTTGAACTGGATTAGATTATGTCTGAGTAACCTATCGATGCCCATGGTTCCCACATTCTTTGTGGTATACAGAGGAGTTGAGGAATTTAAAGAGGCTAAGAGATGCCTAGAGCACTGCTGGCAAATTACAGAGAGTGAAGACAATTAAACCCTACATTGTGGTGGTAAGGGTAGTGAAACTCTACCCTTATTGTATTTACAGATACCCATTCAGCAGCCCTATTTTGGGTAACCTGATCCTTTCTTTGAGTTCATCTATTATACTGTCCACTGTGAGGATTGTGCTGCGCATCTAGGAGATACAGTTGCTTGCATCTGCTCTACATTCGACTCCAATGGGGCAGTGCCAATGGAAGCTACAGGGGCTAAGAGTTGGAAGTTTATATGGAGGGAGTTTGATCCCTTTGCACCTGGAAAAGTGGATAGCACTTGCAGCTGCTAGTTTGGCTATCTCTAGGTTAGATTCCTGTTGCTTCTGGCTGGTTAAGACGGACAGGGGAGAGGAAGCATGATCTGGGTGATGGCTAATGTTTCTTTGAGGGACTGGGTGATTTTATTGGCTTTCAAGGAGGCATTGGTGTACCCTGTCCTGAAAGGGCCATTTCATCCAGTCTACAAACTTCTCTTTTGGGAAAAGGTTGAAGAGAAGGTGGTCTTCTACAGAGCAACTACAGAGGATTTTGGATGAAGTGGATTATCTGGACACTTTTCATTCAGAGTTCAGTGTGGGTTATGGGAATGAAATAATGTTGATCAAGCTATTAAATTACACCTGATGGGAGCAGGATGGTGACAATGAGACTATCCTCACTCTTCTTAACTTTTTAATAGCTTTCAATATCATCAATGATACCCTTCTGGACTTGCTTTGGGAGTTGGGGGAAGGCGGTACTTTGTTGTGCTCATTCTCCTCCTTCCTCCAGGATAGTTCCAGTCCTCCCCTGTTGATAGGGGAGAGAGATCCGTGGCACTTACCCATCCCTAGCTGAAGCTGACATTTGCATATTCAATGACTGTATAATGACAATAATAGAGGTAAGCCTCTACTTCCATTTGGGGCAACTTGCATCTGTTACTTGTTTCATTGTTTATTTCAGTAGCAACTGTGTTCACTGCATACGTATCCATTGCATGCTGACTCTTTTGGCTCTCAAGTTTATGAGTATAATTAAGAAGTTGCCATTTCTTAATGTAGTGATTGGTCGGATGGTTGTGGTTTATCTGGATTTGATGTACAAGGCCTGCACTTCTTTCAGTTCTCAAAAGTATATCTGTGTATCTTCTTATTATAAAAAGTATAATTCATGACAGTGTACAAGATAATCTATAGAAATGTTATCAAAACTGAAAGCATTTTAATGCATGTTTTACTGAATCAAACTAACACTTCATGCATGATACATGACCTTACATAATCATTCTATTATAGTAAATGAAATGTATGATTTATGATCCTTATGAAATCAATGGCTTTGCATGTTTAGATTGTCACTGAATTGTGCTCAAAGCAAAAGTACTTTATAGTAGTGAAAGCAATAGAAAAAAAATGGAATGGGTTTGTTTCTAGAAAACCTGGAAATGGAACAGTCCACATATAACCAAGGTGCCAGTAGATTTTCTTTCAAAGCAGCAAATATTCAGACAAAAATTCTGCTCACAAGAAATGTCTAAGCCTTCTCTAAAAGGACAGGAAATGAAGCTATTAAAATTTAGAAACATTTCTCTAAGAATCTTAAAATGTCCACAAATTGCATCTGTTACAAATCGAATAAGCACCATCCTGGCATTTAGATCAAGAAAAGCAAAGCAAATGCACAAACCAGTTCTGGCCTTTCGAACCTGGCTTGGTTTTTTCACTTGCGTTTTTATGCACAAAGCAAATGCCACTTAAATACAAGGGCTTCCCCAAAGTTGTTGTTATTAACTACATTGCCCTTTG